ACAGACTTCTAAAAATTGTCGACTTCGCTTTCATATTTAAAGATAGTGCCATATATATGTTCATTCATTCTTACATGTAAAAATCACGGATAATAAAAAATCCTTAAAAATTCTTTATTTATGTTTTCACATAAATTCACGCAATACTCACAGATAGGACATAAATACACATACATGAACTAACAAGAACAGTTCGGAATCAGAATTCATCTCTTTATCATAATTAATTGGAAGTTTATAGAAGTTGTGGGACCAACATATGAACAATGCGTTAAATTTTTCGAATTTTACTTCTTTTCGTCAGAGGACTCGCCTGTCGACGCAAGTCGTATCTTCATAAGTTTATACACATTGATACATATAGTGGTTGGCAGCACACAGTTTCTTTTGCCGTGTTTATATAAATTGTTGTTGTTTATTACAAAGAATCGTTTTTCTTGAATTATATTTGATGACAGCAAGAATTATTAAGATCATATTCTGTACAAAAACTACGAAACTATTTGATAGCGTTTGAATCGACATCCCACCTATTACGAGAAAAAGTGAATTCAACACGAACTTTATTATGTTGTTTCTCGCATTGATTACGATGTTTAAAACATAATTAAGGTAATATAATTTGTAAAACTGTTAAATAATGGAGCATTCAAAGAGAATCTCACCTAATGAGGAGCCAAAAATTCTCGAACCTGTTTTAATAAAAACTGTCACGAATGAACGCATAAATATCGACAAAAATGAGGTAAGGAGTCAATACGTAATGTTAGAAAAATTCGTATTGAAGATATTTTTACAATGTTGCTTGAAGACTTATTTCCAAATTTTTTGAATGTGTAGGATATAATTTTTTTTCTTTTTATACAGTTTAAAATTGGACGTGCCAGAGATAATGACGAAATAATATTGGATATCATGATATCTAGAAGACATTGCATTTTTAGATGTATAGGTCAGGATGAATGGACGCTTAAGGATTTAAGCTCTAGTGGAACATTTGTCAATGGTAATGTCATTGGCTCTGGTGAAATACAAAATGTTCGTCCTGGCGATACTATACAATTTAGTCCTAATGAAATGTTTAGATATGTATTTACTCTTACCGAGAAAGATCATTGTGTCAAGAAAGCACGTATAGATGAAAAGATACTTGACACTGTACTTGTCAAGCAAAGAACATTTGCCGAAAATCAAGAATGTCAAAGAAAAGAATTAAAAAATAAGCTTGAAATAAACCAAAAAGAGCAAGTCAAGTTAAAGCAGCAACTTGAAGATCTGTTGTCTCAACAAGCTATGGCTAAAGATGATAACGAGAATTTATTAAAACAAGTTACCGTATTAGAAGAAAAAATAAAGACATGTAATTCTCAAGAAGAACATCTGAACAATATGTATTCTCAGTTATTGCAAAAGTTGGAGAACGAAAGGCTGCAGTTTGAAGCAAGGCTAAACGAGGAGAAACAGAAATGGCAAGAAGCATTAGACATGAGTAAGCAAGAAAAAGAAATGCTGGAAATAAAAATGAAAGATCAAATGGAAAAATGGAGAGAAGAACAGCAAGTAGAATGGAAAAACATGATGGAGAGCAAAGTAAAGGAAGAGAAAAACATTCAGGCCCAGTTAATGAATGAGAAGACCATGTTAGAAGAAAAATTGAAAAACCATGTGAATGAGAAGATTATGTTGGAAGAAAAATTGAAAGAAACGGAAAAAGCCTTAAAGGAACAAGAAGCCAAAGCAGAAACTTCGCAAGCAATATTGAATAGTATGTTGTAATAAATTTATGTACAAATGTACACTGATCGTTCTATATTTATATAATGTTATTTTTAATAGTGTGTTTTTTATTAAAACTTTGAAACAATTGTTTATTATATACTACTAAATCATTGGTATTTTTTTTCAGTAAATACATCAGGCGAAATTGCAAGTACATCAGAGTGTATATTCTTAAACTTGAATCAATTCGAGGTTCCGCAGTATGAAATAATAGACACGATAGATCTAACGGAAATAAGTCAAAATATCCTAGAGACTAATATTAATGAAAATATTCTTGGAAAAGTTAGCAACATTATGGATGAACAATTGACATGTGCCATATGCTCAGAATTATTTATTAAAGCAACAACATTGAATTGTGCACATACATTTTGTCATTACTGCATAAATTCATGGAATAAGAAACAGAAAAATTGCCCTGTTTGTAGGAAGCCAGTAATATCGATGATTAGATCATTAGTTTTAGATAATTTTATTGAAAGTATGATCGATAACTTGCCTACTGAACTTAAAAACAGAAGAAGAGAAATTATACAAGAAAGAGAAGGTAAAGTTTTAATTATAATAATGTGCTTTTATATATTAAATATGACACTCTCTAATTTAACTATTTAATTTGTCTAATCTATATACACTTCTGTTTCAGTATTAACAACGAAGAAAAGTAAAAGGATGTATTAAAATACGAATTGCACAAAATGCAAGGCTACTAATATTTTTATTTTGATGTTAAATATATCTTAAGAAGAATGTTTATTACTGTCTAATTGGTCGATAATTTGTACACTGAAAGTTGAAGTTTTGTTCTCTAAAGTCGGTATTCATAGTCTGTTTCTATTTCAAGATTATCTTAAATAGCTTAAAATAGCTTAAAATGCTCTATGGCTCTCTCTGATTAGTGCAACTTATACAGGGTGAACCAGCTTTTTACTCTATGAAAAAATTATCGATTGTACATTATAATCCAATAGGTAGTCGATAATTTTCTCATAGGATGAAAAGTTGGTTCAACGACTCTGATTTATCCTGTATATATTAATATATATAATTTATATATATTAATATTTAAGACTTAAATAAATATAAAATCGACTATGAATATTGCACACATGCTCTCGATATTCAAAAATTTAAGTTTTATTTTTATAAAAAGAGACCTTTGAAACATCTTTTTTTATTTCATCGTTTTATTAATTTGCATTATCTTTATATATATATATGTATAATAAATACGTCGTTGTATGTATTGTATGATTAATGAAGTATTTTTATAAAACACTTCGATCTTCTGTTCTATATTTTTATACTCTATGTAAATATGCACAAAGATATCTTTTAATGATAATCAGAATATTAAAAAAAATCTTAGAATAAAATTGCTTAATTGCGTATATCGCGTAATATATAGGAAAATTAATAAAATGTATAATTGAAATATGATAGTATAATATTCTAGAAACTTTTAGAACTAGAATTTTGTAATTTTTACAGTTAATATGCTGCTTTTTAATTTATAATATTCTTTTTTTCATTTTTGAGAATTTAAATGTTTACGATTTGCATAACCTTTACTGCGCAGAATCGTTGATAAAATGTTTTTTTACAATATCATAACATCATACAAAAAATTATAACATTCTTTCTGTAAGTTTATTTCAGTTGCCCTTTAACCTTTTGTTTTTTTTTTTAAACCGACTATGGCTGCGTTCCATTTAACGCTCACAATAGTCAGGACACTCGTGGAATCATATCATCCTTGTTATTCATCAAATATTAAACACGGACAAACAATGCTACGAAACGCAGCCCATATAGCCATTTCATTTTAAACCAAAGTGTAAGAAAGTGTAGCTAGAAGGAGCAGATCTGTTGAATCAGCTGTTACTGTTGGTTACTGTCACGTACAAGTGTTATTGTTGAAACTAAACTGTGTTAAGCCAGCTAAATATTGTAGTGACCATTAAAATGCAAAGTGCACGTTCTTTTTTTATTTGCTTCCAAATATCTAGATGTATTAGTTCATCTAACATGTGTTCAATTTCTAATAGAGAAAGTAGATTTATGAAAAAATTAGTGAATGGAAATCGTAAATCGAAAAAGTAAGATGGACTACGCTTCATATAAATTAAAAAAGTGAACGTTTCTCTTAAAACTCTGTTAAATGCAACTTCCTTTATTTTTATGTTGCAGAAAGTGGTATGACTCAAGCATGGAATTACGCAGTATCACAAACATCAATCCAACCAATACTTCATCTTCTTTGCATACCAGACGCAGAATGATAATTCGTGATAAACTTTTCATGCAACATATAACAGACATGATGTCAATGGGACAAGTATCTGACATTATAAAAGAAAGTATAGAGATTACTCATGTCAAAATAACGCAAGATTTTAAATGCGTCAATGTGTTTTATATACCTAGTAATGATGCCTCAGTTGATCAGGAAGCATTGCAGAAGTGCGCCGGAATTATTCGGCACGAGCTATCGCAGCTCCGTATCATAGGTATAGTGCCACCTATCTATTTTGTTGCAAATAAACTCTATTGCAGAGAGAAGGAGGTCGAAAAGAGATTGGCGATGATAACTTTCGAGGAAGATAATGAAATCTTGTCCAAACAAATGGAATCGGATATGTCTGATGTTAGTAGTATTGATCAGATTTTGCACAAAAAACCAGTTGTAAACGATAATTCCAAGATGGATGAATTTTATATCCAATTGCCAATAATGAAACACGATGTATTAGGACTAGATCATTACAAAATCATGTCTCGGGTAATCTATCTTATGTTTTTATTGATAAAAGATAAATGCATGAAATATTATATTTTAATTAATTATTACAGATTACTAGTGCAGTGTCCAAGGCGAAGAAAGCTGCGCAAATACGAATGTTGGATATGAATACTAGTACAGAGAAAAGCGATCTAGTTTCGAACGAAGTCGAGTTCCTAACCAAGAAAGAGCAACGAAAGGTCTTCTCTGATTTTCTAATTAAAAGACAAAGGGAAGCACGACGCATGAAACAGTCGGCTGGCCGGAAAGTATTAAATAATTTTGAAGAAGAGATAAGTAATGAAGAATCTGATTACGAGAATGATGTTGATGTCGACGAGTACATTGACGACGAATACGTCGATGACGAATACATCAACGAGCATGATAATTTCCAGGATGACACGCGAAAATGATTTCAAAATGTTTCATGATGTTTCAGAATAATTTTTATTCAATATAAATATAATACTAACGCTTGACTTTCTGTACATGTGTGTACAATAAATAATTTATTATTAATAAATCGTATTGTACAATATACATAAAATCTTGCTACAGCTGTGAAATAATACAATTAATAACAATAACAAGAATGCTCACTCTTCACTAGACACTACTATGGCCTGTGTTAGTAAAGCTAAGACTGTACATAATGTACAAACTTCCACTATGTAGTTACACCCCATACTTTTGATCCTTTTTGACTGGTGTAAATTTCTTATAGCACGCTATATAATAACTTAACTAATTGCATATCTAATCGATAAATAAAAATAATAAATCTTATTTACGACAAAATCATGCTATTCCTCTAATATTTTCCGCGCAGTAATACATCGTCATAATTTCCAAAATTGAAAATAAAGTATTATATTAATGATTTCGTGATATCTTTTAGTATCTACAGTCAATCCATTAACACGTGACCAATGTCTGTCAATTTACACGCTCTTTTACGTTATTATATTTATAAATTACGTAAAGTTCATGTGTCACGACACAAATATACATTCGTATGTCCAATTCGTATATCTCACAGCATTCTTACATCACAATATGTACTTACTATATTTTTTGTACCAGCTAATGAAACTGGAATGTCCTTTTTAATGAGAATATTTTACACTAGACTTTGATTAAATCTTTGATTCTGTATTCAGGTTTTTTTCCTCTGATCTTTGTTCATCAAGTGCTTCTTTGGGTAAATTTATGTGTATCTCTTGATCACTTATAGGTTTATAGGGACGTACATTTGACGATGTTAATTGAGGTATCGAGTCAGTTAAGGCACATGCTTCCAATACATATTTGTTGAAGGTTTCACTTTTGTCTGCATAGACATGATGACCAGCTCCAGTAATTACCTATAATAATAATTTATTTTGTATAAACAGTTGTAAGTTGATTCATTTTATAGAGCGTTTGCTGATTTAATTATTTTCTTACTTGAACATTAACATATGAGGAAGACCGGTATTGTTTAATTGTTTCACCAGCTGAATTGTCAACCCATGATCTACTGCCATAAAGTAATGATATAGGTATATTATCGTTTAACTGATCCATTCGTTTAACAATTGGATTTTTTGCCCATCCGAAACCATGCATCATCGCATGAAACGCACTCTCGCCTCTGTGAACCGAATATAATTATGTAACACATTTAATATTTTTTAATTGCATTAAAATGTTTAGTTTGCAACTTACGAAGGTGTCTGCGCATTGCATTGATGTATATATTGCGAAATTACAGCAGTGTCATCCTTCAGTACGGGAGTAAACTTTTTCACAATGTCAGGTCTTGTCTTTTCAATGAGCCACTGTCCTGTAATAAATATTTTTGCTCAACGATGTGAAAAGAAAATAATTGTACATTACTGCGTATTACTGCGTTTATGATAATACTAACCAAATGGTCCGGCAACTCTAACTGCCCACAGAGGATTCAAAGGCTGTACAGCAAACGCTATGGCTTTAACCCAGAATGGTATGTGTGTCTTGGCAACAGTATCTGAGGGTTTCTCAGGAAAGCCCCATGGATCAGCCAATATAAGATGTTTCACTCTTTCAGGATATTGCATAGCGTAAGATGCTGCAAGAAAGCCACCCATGGAGTGACCTAACAATACAAAATTCTCTAGCTGCATTTCTCTTCTCCATTCTTCCACAGAACGTACTAACTGCTCCTCAGCTTTTTGCGCTTCATTACTAAAAACAGGTCTACTACTTCTGCCAAATCCTAGAAGACAAATATAGTTGTGTTACAGACATACAAACCTGAGACAATGAACAATAGAAAATTTTAAATAGCAAGTATATACGGTTTCTGATAAGTTGAAATCCGTTATTCCTTGTTTAATTGTGCTTTTTGTGTCTGAAGCTACAGTCTCATAGAAATTTTTGAATATATTTTGATGTTCTTAAATATTTAAATATTTTGTATCTTGTTATAAAAACCTAATAGATTCATATACTGAATAAATTTATGTGCAACTACAAAGTTCAGATCTGATTAGTCATGTAGATGAGTCATGTATTTGTCAAGAATAATGGATGATAAAATAATGACAAACAGAAAGAACTTAGTCGTTAAATAAAATAACAGTAAAAGGAGAAAGAATATAATGTAATCTTTGTGTTTTTGCCATTATTTTAATGCATTATGTTATTAATAGTATATAAATCAGATAAAATCGCAGATAATTAAGCGATAGAGAACTTGATTCTTTTTATTTCTTACCTAATATATCTATGGCGTACACTGGTCTTTGGGATGCAAGTGCATCCAAATTCAAGCACCATAATGCTACTCCAGCTCCTAAACCGTGTAGTAAAACAATTGGGATCTTTGGCGATTCTTCGTTCAACGAAATGGTCCATATTTTATCCGCCGGTCCTACAACTGGTCCAATATCAACGAACCATCCTCGATATGCCGTTTTCAAGCCTAGTATTTCGATTAAATGCATAAATGTAAATTTCGGTCTTGACCTAAGTTTAATTAATAAGATTTGTCTTTTATTATTTATCTCACATGACAGAATCTTCTTCTCAGCAGCACGTAACATAGTCGAAGAAGATCCAGACCAGCTAAACCATCCCCAAATCCAGCTACTGCAGCATTTTATAAAATAAAATTATCTTTCTTGGCATGGTGGATTGAGAAAAAATTCCTCTCAAATTATCCAACTATATATGTATCAACAAAATTGAGATGCAATTATCCAATTACGTATCGATAAAACTAAGATGAATCGGCGTTATTTACAATTTGTATCAAGTCATGCTTGTACACATCATCGAGACAAGTATGCACATCGCGGATGGGGTATTAATAGTCGTTATATCACAGACCAATTATTACGCTCTTGCTCGCGCATTCGCCATGTGCACCGAAAAAGATCTAGCCAAGGGGCGGCCTTGAGATGCCTAACAAAGCTAAACTTTTAAAATCGTCGCAATCGTTGACACGATTCGATTATCTACACGCTTTGTTGATATAGCTCGTTCTTTCTTCGCGCGAACGATTTGTTGTCATTCGCGTCTTGCGCCAAATGACGTAACGGCGCGATACAATCACAGTTCATGATCGCGACGTAATCGACGAATTGTGACGGAGTTTTCCGACACCGCACAAATTGGCGCAAATGGTCAAATCCTCTTTCGCTCACCTTTTTGCTTGGACGACTTCATGGTCTGCCATGGATGCAAGATGACGACGACGGCCGATCTGCCGTCGCGATCGGGGCTCCTTTGTTGTCGGTAAATGCGGAAAAAACACGCGTGTGCTGTAACGCGATACTATTATCTAGCAGAAGTGTCTCGATCTGAATGGACGGATCAAGCCATCGAGCGAATATGCGGCCTCGTGGACCAAGAGCGGCGTGGTGGGTAACGGCAGCCGCGGAGTAGGGAGGAATCAGCTGATATCAAGTGTGCGCGCGTGCAAGCCGATTTCTGGAGCGTGTCTACTCGCGAATCTCTTCTATCTCTTGTTCTTGAGATCCTATCGAGGTTACCTGACCATCGATGGTCGGAAAACAGGTTGAACTGAATTAATTATTTCACCTGATATTTAACGCGAGAAAACGAATTCCGCTCTTTCTTCAAAACGAATCGAACGCTGGATACTTAAAAAAATCGTCTTCGATTTTAAAAAGTATCCAGCGCTTTTTTTATATAGCAAGACTTTGTTGGAACTTATAGGAGATAGAAATGGAAATGGAAAGTTACCGATCAGTGGCTTAGATGAGAAACGGCAAATTGGCATCATCTGTGTCTGCTTTAAAGTCGTGTTCCACTAGTTATAATTTAATAACAGAGAACCCAAATAGAATTTTAATAGTTATCAACCATAACTATTTAAATAATATATATTTCATATATATATATATATATATACATATATATATATATATATATATATTTAAATATATGAATGCTTTTGATTGCAGCTACGATAGAATCACTAAAGTTGCTGTGTAACTTATTATTTAATAGTGTAAAAGTGCAACAGTCGCAAGTATTAATCTCTTCTTTGCCTTATCTCATCGATCGAATTAAAAATTACACGATTATACATATTTATATATAAAAAATATTTTTATATATATTCATATATAAAAAATTTTTTACGAGAGCTGTTAACGGGTTTCATCTTTTTACAATAAATTTTTTATAGCATGGGCGTAGCCAGGATCTTGTTTTTAAAGCCAAATTGTGAGTTGAAATTTTTGATCTCCGGAACTATTAGGCTTGTTTGGTTTTTTTTTATTAATTATTAATAGATAAATCACACATGTTTAATTTACTAATTTAATTAATTTTTTTTTTTTTTGCTAATATTTATTTATTCTATTACACATTTATAAGTAGCTATTTATTATTCTATTTTATTTCTATCAATATTCTATTAAAATGTGCAAGTCACTTTACAGTTTATCTACTTTCGATGGATTTAACTATCTGATATGTGTATGCATATTTCTATGTCAATCATATGTATCATTGTGCATGCCGTTACTTAGCACGTTGTTCATATCAATGTGAAGGATACATAATAATGTGTCGAAAGGAAGAGTTCAAAGTTACCGAGCCGAAACGCTAACCGAGCTTCCTGTTATATAGTTTTATTCCACCGTTTGCGTAAGAGGTGGAGCTACGTTCTGGAAAAAAAGTGTGGCGAATCGATCGCTCTTCTTATATATTTCAAAAGACATACGATAAAGCGTAAGAATGATGGATATTTACACTACGCAATGAGATTAGAAAAAGAAAGAGAAAGAAACAATTTAAGAAAGTGGAGAAGGTGGAGAAAAGCTAAAAAAAAAATAAAAAGTGTTCACCAACGCAAATTCTCGGCCTGAAGTCGATAGGATACCGGCGGAACTCCGCCATATATCCGGTTCAAGGCAATGAATCGGACCGGATACAACGCGAGTCTCGAATCTGGGACGTCAGCAAATGACGTGACCCGCCGTCGAGTTCGCGACGCCAACGAATATGGGAACCGCGTCCCGCGTTTCGATATTTTCTTTCATACACTACTCGTCCCTTGAATGAAATCTTCTGGAGAATCGCACGATACGGACGTCAATGCGCCTTGGTGATATTTCCTCATTTGAAGATCGTCATCGTCCGATGACGTGAGAGCTAGGAAACACATCGGTTCAAGGGTCGCGTCTCTACGTCTATATCGATGCACGATAAAAAAGGCAGCTGATAATGCGTCGCGATTTGACGCGAAATCTTATCACGCCAGTAATCGTGCGGCGTGTTATTGTTTAAAGCATTTAAAGTCGGAATAAAAAGCCCACGCTGTGCTGCGAGTGATAGCGCGAGCGCAGAACATTGCAAAGTCGTCCTCATCGAATTATATTTCGCCTTGATTATCGCGTTCCATTATAATTGCGCGTCCATTTACTCGTCGCAAATGCTGACCAACTTAATTGTTCACCGCGCGTGCTCGAGTTTTAAACCCGAACCGTATTACAAGTTCCAAACACGGACTTTGTGAATTTCAGCCGTTACCAAACTTGCTCGGATGAAAACAGTCAATACAAATAACGTGAAATCCTGTGTCTGTATTCTGTAACTTTTAACGACACTGTTGGTATAATTGTATCGAAGCTCATGTATTATTCTAATATTTCATGTGTCGTTTGACAAACTTTTGGCTGTAAAACAGAGAAGACCTCTCTGTCTTGTAACAGAATACTTAAACGTAATAATAAAACGATCTGTAAAATTGTTAAATTCCTAATATATATAATATTTTGAAAATATGTTATTAAATATCCTTAAATTTTTAGAAATTTTCTATTTATATCCAATCAATGCGCTTAAAAAATTTGTCGATAAATGAAATATTAGTCTTATACATATATCGTAAAAAAATTGTGCAACGATAGTATAACGATAATGGACTATTGTTGGAATGCTGGCATTGATAAGATCAAGCGAGAAGAAAACATCAAAACAACTTTTAATATTTTCAACATATTTGATGAAAGAATCACCAGAAAAGAATACGTCTTCCGTTGAAATGATTCTCGGAAGAATTGAAAAACATAGAGTGAACGGACGTAATAAAATCGTTTAAAATCGTTTTGTTTATCGAATTGTCACAGAGGAAGACTGTCTTCTAGTGAAACAAAATCGGTCCCAAGATTGACGTAAGATAATGCATCGTATTGACGCAAATGCTGCCGAGCGAGCGACTGTTACTTAAATTGGTGACCATGCGTAATGCATAGCTCGTATTGACAAGACACGTATACCAACGTATGCATGTATATGTGATCGCACCCCACACTTTTGCACGATTAATAATTACACAGTACTCCCGGTATGGCTTGACAATACGAAGCGGTGTGCACGTCGCTGGCATTGTCTCGCGAGTCGCGAGGTGGCCACGTCGCAAGTTTGTTGTAAAATCAACTAACGCCGATGATTCCGTTGACGCTTCTTCGCCCACGTCTTCATGCTAATTTTGCGAAAATTATAGAAGACACCGGACAGAGAATTATATAGGACGTATGGCGAAGGGAACTACGACGTATTTAAAAAAAATATGAGCCCCATAGTGATCATCTATGATTGCTAGAAATAATGTTATCATAAATAATATTTATGGTTATAATTTATAATATAGTAATATTATATCAACTATTAAATAATATTTTAACTAAGCGTTAGCTGAAGTTTTTATTTACACGGAATGAACGGTTTTGCCAAAATATCTAAGGATTTAACTACACTGAGAAAACACACACACTATTAGATTTTAATAAATATTTATTTGAACAGTATTAACTAAACATTTACTTATAATAAATATTTATTTAATAAAAAAATGAATCAAATTAAGTAATAGTTTTTAAATCAAATTAATTAATAGTTCTTGTGTATCGAATAAATACAATATATCTTTATAGTACCTAAAAATTTAGTTGGTATCATAACTCAAACAAATAATTTATTAAAATTTAGTTTATTTTATCAACGTAGATGCAATTCAAAAATAATTTTGTTGAACCAATTATGTCGAAATAATTATGTAAAATATTCAAGCTATTATTGCAACAATATCAAATCTTTTTACAGCATTGCTTGTCATACTTGAGTTTTCTATATAATTATTTTGATAGTCGAACAAAATTATTTTCGTATCTATCTAAATTTTTGAATATTTAACGAAATCGATTTTTTTCGCTTTGTACAATCGTTAGTTTCTCGATAGTGACAATTGCTAAATTATATATCATATGCGACAAAATAATACGTCTACTTAGAAACGTTTCGGAAAAAGAAATGGGTTCTGTGTACATTCGCGAGTCGTTGCCGAAGGCCTCGACAGAAAAGCTTCGGGCACTTTTTGCCCTCCCGACAATATAAGCCATTCATCCCAATCAGCACATCCTCTCATTGCACTCGTGCATGATTCTCATTATCCAGTCCAATTGTTTCGCGAATTCAACCGCACGGCTCGCCGCAGATCGCGATGTTCATTGTCGCGCGATAAATGCGTGACGATTGTAACACGCGGACCGCGAATGATCCTAATCGTGCATCGTATATCAATTATTCATATACATATCACGCAATTGACATGAAATGCACATACTGTGCAAAAATATGCTGTATAGATGTATGATGACTGTCGTTTTTGTCGGCGCAATATTCGCGCTTTTGCGCGGAATCCGATCCCGTCGGAAAGATCGTTCCAACAAAAGCATGCGATAATTCTCGTCGACGATAATCGCGTTACGCTATCGTGAACGACAGCGCGTAGCGTGCGACGCGGACACAACGTTGCCAAACCGCAACGGGAATGACTCCAATTTGTTTCGTGAGCACGAATCTCGTTTACGGGAATTGCAAGCGGTACGTAACGTATCGTGTGAGAAACGCAGTCGATTTCTCGGAGAGCGATGCGTTCACGGTATCAGCTGCGTCTGACGATCGAAGGAGAGGCGGAGAGACATGCGGTAGAAGTTCGCATTTGGCGAGGCGTGTTTCTCGCTGAATCGAGGAATTGGATGGACGGACGGACGAACGGATGAACGCAGGATGCGCACGCACGCACTCCTTCGCGCGCGCGTGCACGTACGTGTGGAAAGCCACGCACACTGTGCGT